TTTCCAATAAATCATGTACATGTGCAGTTTGAGACTAGAAGTTCAAAGCGTTAAAGTTTTGCGGACAGCTCATGACAACAAACGAAGAACGACATCGATATGGCTATAGGTCATCCTGGCTGACCTAAACATAATCACTGATAAACTGACCGTCACTTTAGTTTATGCACCACCATTGATCATACACACATGTATACACTTAGACAGGTCAAGCTTAAATGTACTGACCATTTAAACCGCCATGGTCAGTACTAGTGTACAAGAGAGCTAGTCACGCTTACATTCGTGTGCGATCAGTAACCCTAGCCTGGAGCTGGTCAAGCGGTGAACGTAACGATAAATGGACAGGATCCCAACACACTAACAGGTATGTAAACAATGGCGGGCTTAGCGGCCTTCAACACCCTCAGCCTCGGAATATTCTCTTAACACCGAGTATTTCCTCCTTTTTTGCATTTGAAGAATAGAAGACCCCCCCNGCTAGGAAGTCTGAGGTGGCATCCGGGGGATCCCTTCAACTGTAATGTAATAATGTAATACATTTACACGGATAAGCCATGTATTCCCTTTTCTCCTATGATTTTGTTTTGTGAATAAGATAACAGCAACTTCAATGTTTACAAGAGCAAGCTTAAGTCTGAGTCAGATGAGGCCGTACATATATGTATCAGACATGTGTATATAACACACACACGCCTACGTGAACAAGCTACCCAGGGAAACGTAAACACTGGTAAATTGGATATCAACTGAAAGATAAGATAATCTGCATGTAAGATATTGTTGTTGACAAACTGTCATCTCTGCGATGTTATGCTTCATCGGTCGTCTAGAACCAAGGAAAGGCAAAATAAAACAAGGCCCGCAACTCAAGCTACATGTAGATTCTCCTCTTGGTAAGGTACGTCTAGCTACAGATACACAGGAACAGTTCGAGAGGTCGAGGGACACAAACATATCAAGGTACAAAGATATTGGGCACAGAGTGATTGAAATACAAAGAGTTCGAGGTACAGATAGACCGGGGAACAATGAGATCGAAATACAGAATGGTCAAGTCATAAAGGTGTTGGCGTATTGAGAAGTCGTGGTACAAAGCAATCGGAACAGAGCAAAGAAAGGTTCAGGAAAGTCGGGATACAAAGAGTTCGGCGTATAGAGAGGTTTTGGTATAGAGAGGTTTTGGTATAAAGAAGTTTTGGTATAGAGAGGTTGCAGTAAAGATATGTCGGACCACCCATGGGTGATCGGGTGGTGAAGTGGAAGCCGGGGCCGATCTCCCGATCGGACATGAAAAGTTATGGAGTCGCCTGCCCGACCACGTACAGGTCCGGGTACTCCGATTTACTCCCACACTAAGACCCCCCCCCCCCCCCCCCCCCCCCCCCNGAGTGATTGATATATAATTTGAAATAACTTGTTTTATAATTGCAATCGATATCGTATTATATGGAGGGTTGGGCAGAGATGTTGGTGTGTGGATACATCGATGTAGAGAGAGAGATCAGGTACAGACAGGTCGGAGAACACAGAGGTCGGGATACTGAGATGTCCGAGTACAGATATATCGGGATACGGAGATGTCCGTGTACAGATATATCGGGATACTGAGATGTCCGAGTACAGATATATCGGAATACTGAGATGTCCGAGTACAGATATATCGGGATACTGAGATGTCCGAGTACAGATATATCGGGATACTGAGATGTCCGAGTACAGATATATCGGGCTACTGAGATGTCCATGTACAGATATATCGAGATACTGAGATGTCCGAGTACAGATATATAGGGATACTGAGATGTCCGAGTACAGATATATCGGGATACTGAGGTTTCCGAGTACAGATATATCGGGATACTGAGATATCCGAGTACAGATGTATCGGGATACTGAGATGTCCATGTACAGATATATCGAGATACTGAGATGTCCGAGTACAGATATATCAGAGATACTGAGATGTCCGAGTACAGATGTATCGGGATACTGAGATGTCCATGGACAGATATATCGAGATACTGAGATGTCGGAGTACAGATATATCGGGATACTGAGATGTCCGAGTACAGATATATAGAGATACTGAGATGTCCGAGTACAGATATATTAAGATACTGAGATGTCCGAGTACAGGTTTATCGGGATACTGAGATGTCCGAGTACAGATATATCGGGATACTGAGGTTTCCGAGTACAGATATATCGGGATACTGAGGTTTCCGAGTACAGATATATCGGGATACTGAGATGTCCCAGTACAAATATATCGAGGTACTGAGATGTCCGAGTACAGGTATATCGGGATACTGAGAGGTCGGAGTACAGATATATCGGGATACTGAGATGGCCGAGGACAGATATATCGGGATACTGAGATGTCCGAAGATGTCCGAGTACAGGTATATCGGGATACTGAGATGTCCGAGGACAAATATATCGAGATACTGAGATGTCCGAGTACAGATATATCAAGATACTGAAATGTCCGAGTACAGGTATATCGGGATACTGAGATGTCGGAGTACAGATATATCGGGATACTGAGATGTCCGAGTACAAATATATCGAGATACTGAGATGTCCGAGTACAGATATATCGGGATACTGAGATGTCCGAGTACAGATATATCGGGATACTGAGATGTCCGAGTACAGATATATCGGGATACTGAGATGTCCGAGTACAGATATATCGGGATACTGAGATGTCCGAGTACAGATATATCGGGATACTGAGATGTCCGAGTACAGATATATCGGGATACTGAGATGTCCGAGTACAGATATATCGGGATACTGAGATGTCCGAGTACAGATATATCGGGATACTGAGATGTCCGAGTACAGATATATCGGGATACTGAGATGTCCGAGTACAGATATATCGGGATACTGAGATGTCCGAGTACAGATATATCGGGATACTGATATGTCCGAGTACAGATATATCGAGATTCTAAGATGTCCGAGTACAGATATATCAAGATACTGAGATGTCCGAGTACAGATATATCGGGATACATATATGTTCGAGTACAGATATATCGAGATACTGAGATGTCCGAGTACAGATACATCGGGATACTGAGATGTCCGAGTACAGATATATCGGGATACATATATGTTCGAGTACAGATATATCGAGATACTGAGATGTCCGAGTACAGATAGATCGGGATACATATATGTTCGCGTACAGATATATCGAGATACTTAGATGTCCGATTACAGATATATCGGGATACTGATATGTCCGAGTACAGATATATCAAGATACTGAGATGTCCGAGTACAGATATATCGGGATACTGAGATTTCTATGTACAGATATATCGGGATACTGTGATGTCCGAGTACAGATATATCGGGATACTGAGATGTCCCAGTACAGATATATCGGGATACTGAGATGTGCGATTAAAAATATATCGAGATACTGAGATGTCCGAGTACAGATGTATCGGGATACTGAGATGTCCGAGTACAAATATATCGGGATACTGAGATGTCCGAGTACAGATATAGCAGGATACTGAGATGTCTGAGTACAGATATATCGGGATACTGAGATGTCCGAGTACGGATATATCGGGATACTGAGATTTCCGAGTACAGATATATCGAGATACTGAGATGTCCGAGTACAGATATATCGAGATACTTAGATGTCCGATTACAGATATATCGGGATACTGAGATGTCCGAGTACAGATATATCGGGATACTGAGATTTCCGAGTACAGATATATCGGGATACTGAGATGTCCGAGTACAGATATATCGAGATACTGAGATGTCCAAGTACAGATATATCGGGATACTGAGATGTCCAAGTACAGATATATCGGGATACTGAAATGTCCGAGTACAGATATATCGAGATACTGAGATGTCGGAGTACAGATATATCGGGATACTGAGATGTCCGAGTACAGATATATCGGGATACTGAGATGTCCGAGTACAGATGTATCGGGATACCGAGATGTCCGAGTACACATATATATCGGGATACTGAGATGTCCGAGTACAGATGTATCGGGATACTGAGATGTCCGAGTACAGATGTATCGGGTTACTGAGATGTCCGAGTACAGATATATCGGGATACTGAGATGTCCGAGTACAAATATATAGGGATACATATATATGATTGTGCAAAGAGATCTCAAAGGTTAAGACAAACATCACAAACCGGAAGTAGGTTGTGTAATTTATGGTTTTATTATATGTATTTAGTTATACCCTCGTATACCACTGTACCTATAACACGTTTTCTGTTGTACAGTACCCTCGTATACCACTGTACCTAATACACGTTTTCTGTTATACAGTACCCTCGTATACCACTGTACCTATAACACGTTTTCTGTTATACAGTACCCTCGTATACCACTGTACCTATAACACGTTTTCTGTTGTACAGTACCCTCGTATACCACTGTACCTATAACACGTTTTCTGTTATACAGTACCGTCGTATACCACTGTACTTAATACACGTTTTCTGTTATACAGTACCCTCGTATACCACTGTACCTATAACACGTTTTCTGTTGTACAGTACTTTGTATACCACTGTACCTATAACATGTTTTCTGTTGTACAGTACCCTCGTATACCACTGTACCTATAACACGTTTTCTGTTGTACATCACCCTCGTATACCACTGTACCTATAACACGTTTTCTGTTATACAGGACCCTCGTATACCACTGTACCTATAACACGTTTGCTGTTATACAGTTCCCTCGTATACCACTGTACCTATAACACGTTTTATGTTATACAGTACCACGTGTGGTATATAACTCATATTTATCTAACAGTCTGCGTGTTTATACAATGATCTGAGGGTGGAATAACACAGCGTATTGTGGTAGAAATATATCATTCCAAGCTGTTATATGATATGGGCCTGAAAGTGTACACAGCACATGCATATGCATAAAATTGCTACAAATAGATTCGTCTACACATGCTTCATATATAAGGCTGCTGGAGTTGTCAGTTATAACCGCCAGGATTGTGTTGAACGGAAATATACGTGTGGCAGGTAGGTGTCCTGTTCTTATAAACATGTGGGTAACTCACCGTTGTCGACGTCATACCTTTTATATCACTATGATAGGTTACTACAAAAGTATTCATGACACTTTCTTTGTTTATTCACATGCTGAGAATATTTAATGTACAATGTACGCATACCTTACGCAATGTCTAATAAAATATATACATTTTTGTGACATGTATGTGATTATCCATTGTTCTGATTTTGCTAATGAATTATTTTATCTTTATTAATATGAAATGTATTGTAATCTTTATTTGGAGGAAATAAAGATAATAATAATAATAATAATAATAATAATAATAATAATAATAATAATAATAAGTCTATGACTTCTATTGACGATCTACTGGTGCTATATGTAGTACTCTGGTATTTCACGCCGGACGGTTTCTGTAAAACATAAGATATCCCTTAACCAGTTTTTTTAAGACTCGAACAAGTTTTATTCCGTATGCAAATCTGCAATGGAAAATAAAAGAAGGGGTTTACAAGTATTTCTATGCCATCTTCAGAAAAACAGAAAAACGAATCTTGACCATTCTTTGTAATTTCACTTAAAATTCAGGCAACTATTTCTGATGTGCGAAAACATTATGTATTTATTCATTTATTTGAAAATAATAATAATAATTATAAATAAGCCAATACGAGGTTTACTTTTGATAACATTCTACTGCTTTTTCTATTATAACAAGAAAGTCCATTTGTTATTTTCACACGAAACCTTGAAGTTACAAGGGGCTTGGTAATGTGACGTCACAAAAGCACTTAAGTTGTTGAAATGTCCTATACAGAATTCGTCGTCTCTTCTTTTTGGTTGTTTAGGGGAGAGGGGTAACTTCTTCACGACAAGCTCATCACTTAATATAGAAAACGAATAAAAAACTAAATATATGAAATCTGTCACAGGGCTACCAAGTTTGTTTAAATGTTTGACCTTCAATCATATTCAAGGTCACAAGGAGCAAATATGTTCAAAATATTTAAACAACTTGTTCTGAATAACCAAAAGACTCAGGATGTTGATATTTAGTCAGTAGCATGCTGGGATCAAGGACTACCATGTTCGTTAAAGTGAATGACTTTGACTTATATTCAAACTCACAGGAATCAAATTTGTTTAAAATCTTTAAACGACCTCTTCTGAATAACCATAGGTCCCAGGATGTTGATACTTTGCAAATTGCATCCTGAGATGAAAGGCTATAAAATTTGTTCAACATAATGACTTTGTTCGACTTTCAATCACAGGGGTGGAATGTTTAAAATAAATAAATAATGGGTCTTTTGAATGAATTTTTATCATAAATACTGATATTTTACCTGTAGCTTTATTTTAGATAACTTTTAAAGTTACAAGTGTGAGATTTATACCAGGTGAGCGATGCAGGCCCATTGGGCCTCTTGTTCGAATTTGACCTGCGTTAGGAATAAACAATCTTCTTCCGAAAATAACGTAAAACTGTTTGTTTCACAAAAAGGTAGTTGCGACCTACTTTTCATAACTTCATATACATTTAAATATAATGTTTTAAAAAATGACCCGAGTCCATATTGATCGTAAAAACTACCCTAGATCATTACGACACCATTCTATAACCAATATTTTGAAAAAGCCCCCACTTTTCTTTATGAAAATGGAACCCATGAATTATTGCACTTTACCATATTGAATTGTCACAAAAATGGTCCCAGGCCAATATAAAACGTTGAAAATGGGAACCAGAAAATATATTCAACGAATTTCTCAATTTGATGACATGTAGGCTGCATTTTGAAAACTATGTGTCTGTGATCGAAGGCACCCAGCACAGCATTCCGCCCGGTCACATTAGACTGACAACAGGTGAACCAGTTGTTGCCATTCCAGTCCAATGGACTACACAGAATTGTATATAACATAATGTTAAACCATAACTATATTTATTCCTCAGTCCACGTTAAATGATCCACACACCTGATGTAGTCTCGCCAATGCAGAGAAATTAGATTTTTTCATCCGTAGAGTAGTATTGAACCCAGTCGTCTTTCCCGTCTTTTAATGAGAAACAGGTATGCGACTGCTCCTGGTATACCTGTATCTCATTAACAGACGGGAAAGACGACTGGGTTCAATACTAATCAAATAACCGGTTTTTGACCTCTATATCATATAGAAAAGTCACTTATGCAATCGAAAGATTAAGCACAGAAAACCTGCTGATGTGTATACAGTCTCTTAACCGCAAGTTATACACTACATGTATATGCATCTTATTATACATTTACCAGGTGTTTACTGCAGAGTGCCTGCCCCCTAAAGCATCATTGTCAGTGTAACAGTAAATTTGACAGGATGCGAAGTTGGACGTGGCTCCTCTGTAGCCTTGTTATGACAGTTACATAAGATAGGTTACCGAGAGCTTTGAATTATTAGGTTACCGAGAGCTTTGGATTATTAGGTTACCGAGAGTTTTGGATTATTAGGTTACCAAGAGCTTTGGATTATTAGGTTACCGAGAGCTTTGGATTATTGGGTTACCGAGAGCTTTGTAGTATTAGGTTACCGAGAGCTTTGTAGTATTAGGTTACCGAGAGCTTTGGATTACTAGGTTACCAAGAGCTTTGGATTTTTGGGACAAGGCAATCAAACATTGTGTAGAAGACGAATTTCCCCCTACCTACTTGCGTAGTGGATATTATAAATGTTTATATAAGGTAAATTTCATTTAAATTAACTAGATGCACATTATAAACAATGTTCATACCCTTACGACTGCTGACTTCATTTCCAATGACTGCAGAGCAAGGCGCCCCCCTTCCCCGTGACTGGATAAGTTAAGGTGCTCATTGAATGCAGAGATGCGTTCAGCCTCAACTAGACAGGCCACTTATCTAACACGTTAGGCCGCTTATCTACCACTTTAGGCCGCTAACCTGCCACTTTAGGCCGCTAATCTACAACTTTAGGCCGCTTATCTATCACTTTAGGTCGCTTATCTACCACGTTAGGCCGCTTATCTACCACTTTAGGTCGCTTATCCACCACTTTAGGCCGCTTATCTACCACTAAAGGCCGCTTATCTACCACTTTAGCCGCTAACCTGCCACTTTAGGCCGCTTACTACCACTTTAGGTCGCTTATCTACCACTTTAGTCCGCTTATCTACCACGTTAGGTCGCTATCTACCACTTTAGTCCGCTTAGCTACCACTTTAGGCCGCATACTACCACTTTAGGTCGCTTATCTACCACGTTAGGTCGCTTATCTACCACTTTAGTCCGCTTATCTACCACTTTAGGCCGCTTATCTACCACTTTAGTTCGCTTATCTACCACTTTAGGCGCTTATCTACCACTTTAAGCCGCTTATCTACCACTTTGGCCGCTTATCTATCACTTTAGGCCGCTTATCCACCACTTTAGGCCGCTTACCTACCACTTTAGGCCGCTTATCTACCACTTTAGGCCGCTTATCCACCAGTGTAGGCCGCTTACCTACCACTTTAGGCCGCTTATTTACCACTTTAGGCCGCTTATCTAGCACTTTAGGCCGCTTATCTACCATTTTAGGCTCTTACCTACCACTTTAGGCCGCTTATCTACCACTTTATTCCCGATATCAACACATTCAATACAATAGGTTATTTATGTAGACGCGTAATCTAGGTCCTACACTCATGTGTATATTATTGATATGATACAATTTTTTTCAGACGTGATGGCAACATTCGAAAGGTACGGCCATTTGGTGGGGTCAATTGACCAAGGTTCAAGTAGCACTCGGTTTTCGGTACGTACATACACAGTTGGTCATTACACGATATACAGGTGTCTCTACCGTGAAATATTGAACCGTGATAATTATATCTGTTTGTACAGTGACCGTGTTATTAACATAAAAACCCCACTTTACTCGTGGCAGTTAAGGTACATGTATAAAATGTGAAGGTTATATATCTTGAAAACTATGAAATGAATAATATGCTTGCATTGTGTAAATTCTAATTGCGCAAACTCGCACTAATATTATAAGTCATACTCATGTATATTTGTAGTAAAGTACGAAAATATTTGTCCCTTTTTAAGGTATTTTCAAGCAAGACAGGAGAAATGATTGCATCCCACCAAGTGGAATCGGAGATCCTCACACCGCATAAAAGGTTGACCTATTATTATTGAAATACAAAAACAAAACAAAAAAGAGGAAAGAAAGAGTAAAACCTAGTGATATGACATTTTCCACTACCATAAGATACACATTTCAGAAATGTTCTACTTTTTATCTGGAGCACCTCAAAATTAAATGTTGTTTGAAAGTAAAGCAAGCATCATAATCCCCCCACCCCCACCCCCCACATC